TTCGGCCGAATATTGCAAAAAAACACACATTCAATATTCGGTGGAATAAGTTAAAAGCAAGGCCGAATAATAGCGGCGTGTTTTGATAATGCAATCAAACAGCGTACCGTGACGGGAGGAGTAAAATGTCGGCAGTGTGGCGATCCGTCTGTCAAGCACTAGCATTTGCGACTAAAAATAGTTTTGAGCGAGCAAAATAGGCTTAAATCATTCAGCACGCTGTGAGAGCAGCCTACAGATTTCAACCAGCAGCAGAAATGAAAGGCGAATCCCACCGATTATGGGTTGAACGGGGGTCACAGACACAGACAGAAATACGTATTCCTGTCAAATATGGCGGCCATCGGCTTACCGGTGACGGAGAAGTCGCCTCCAATAATATCCTCTTCTTGGCGTGTGGACTGCCCAGAAGTACCTGAACAGCCGAGCCAGCCGAACACAGGTACAGTACAGGCCAAAAGTTTGGACACACCTTCTCATTCAATGCGTTTTCTTTATTTTCATGACTATTTACATTGTAGATTCTCACTGAAGGCATCAAAACTATGAATGAACACATGTGGAGTTATGTACTTAACAAAAAAAGGTGAAATAACTGAAAACATGTTTTATATTCTAGTTTCTTCAAAATAGCCACCCTTTGCTCTGATTACTGCTTTGCACACTCTTGGCATTCTCTCCATGAGCTTCAAGAGGTAGTCACCTGAAATGGTTTCCACTTCACAGGTGTGCCTTATCAGGGTTAATTAGTGGAATTTCTTGCTTTATCAATGGGGTTGGGACCATCAGTTGTGTTGTGCAGAAGTCAGGTTAATACACAGCCGACAGCCCTATTGGACAACTGTTAAAATTCATATTATGGCAAGAACCAATCAGCTAACTAAAGAAAAACAAGTGGCCATCATTACTTTAAGAAATGAAGGTCAGTCAGTCCGGAAAATTGCAAAAACTTTAAATGTGTCCCCAAGTGGAGTCGCAAAAACCATCAAGCGCTACAAGGAAACTGGCACACATGAGGACCGACCCAGGAAAGGAAGACCAAGAGTCACCTCTGCTTCTGAGGATAAGTTCATCCAAGTCACCAGCCTCAGAAATCGCAAGTTAACAGCAGCTCAGATCAGAGACCAGATGAATGCCACACAGAGTTCTAGCAGCAGACCCATCTCTAGAACAACTGTTAAGAGGAGACTGCGCCAATCAGGCCTTCATGGTCAAATAGCTGCTAGGAAACCACTGCTAAGGAGAGGCAACAAGCAGAAGAGATTTGTTTGGGCCAAGAAACACAAGGAATGGACATTAGACCAGTGGAAATCTGTGCTTTGGTCTGATGAGTCCAAATCTGAGATCTTTGGTTCCAACCGCCGTGTCTTTGTGAGACGCAGAAAAGGTGAACGGATGGATTCCACATGCCTGGTTCCCACTGTGAAGCATGGAGGAGGAGGTGTGATGGTGTGGGGGTGTTTTGCTGGTGACACTGTTGGGGATTTATTCAAAATTGAAGGCACACTGAACCAGCATGGCTACCACAGCATCCTGCAGCGACATGCCATCCCATCCGGTTTGCGTTTAGTTGGACGATCATTTATTTTTCAACAGGACAATGACCCCAAACACACCTCCAGGCTGTGTAAGGGCTATTTGACCAAGAAGGAGAGTGATGGAGTGCTGCGGCAGATGACCTGGCCTCCACAGTCACCGGACCTGAACCCAATCCAGATGGTTTGGGGTGAGCTGGACCGCAGAGTGAAGGCAAAGGGGCCAACAAGTGCTAAACACCTCTGGGAACTCCTTCAAGACTGTTGGAAAACCATTTCAGGTGACTACCTCTTGAAGCTCATGGAGAGAATGCCAAGAGTGTGCAAAGCAGTAATCAGAGCAAAGGGTGGCTATTTTGAAGAAACTAGAATATAAAACATGTTTTCAGTTATTTCACCTTTTTTTGTTAAGTACATAACTCCACATGTGTTCATTCATAGTTTTGATGCCTTCAGTGAGAATCTACAATGTAAATAGTCATGAAAATAAAGAAAACGCATTGAATGAGAAAGTGTGTCCAAACTTTTGGCCTGTACTGTATGTGATGTGTCAGAGGAGAAACGAGCCGTTCACGGCCCACAAACCTCACCACACTTTAGGGACTGTTCTTTACTTATGAAGGGACTGTTCTTTACTTGTCAGGGGAGGAGGGTGGCTGGTTGATTCTTATTTCATTTATTTATTTTATTTTGATCCCCCCTATGTTTATCACTTATTGATGCTTTTTTTGAAGTATGAATAATTAAGAGTAATTTATTCCATTGAAATATCATTGATGTATTATAGAAAAGTGATTTATCTTTTTATAAATGACAAAAGGCACATCTGCCTCATTTTCGTTGTGGTATTGTGTTACTACTCAGAACCATGATACTTTCACTGGTATTGTACAGTGGGTCCCAATTTGGTACCGTGACAACACTAATCTGGAGGGTTCATCTGCAAAAACTAATGAAAAACTAAACAACAATATTCGGTATTCGGCCAAGTGTTTAATTTTATTCGGCTTCGGCCACAAATTTTCATTTTAGTGCATCCCGAAAGTGAACGTTCATAGTTATTAGAGACTGAAAAAAATCAATGATGTGTTTATGGTGAAAATTTGATCATTTTCTGCTTTTTTATGCATGAAAAGTGACCAAAAATTCAAAGGAAAATCTATAAGATGTAACTTAGTACTTAAACAATTGTCACACTAATCAAACTTATTGTCACAGTTGGTGTTAAAATGTAAAGATAAACCAGGTGTTATGATATCTTTTTTGGTTTGCAAAACAAAAAATGAAACCATGCTATGTATGAAAATGTTTTTTTGTACTGTATGTAGATTATTGGCCATATTTTATCGCGTGAATTGTTCTGAGTTTATGTCCATCCTTCAACACTGTCTGATTTTTGTCTCATCAGAGCTGCCATGACGTCCATTCAGCAGCTGAGGGGTGATCTCACCTCCAGTGGGGATCAGCCATCTACTAACCTAGCTACCTATTTCAAAGTGGGTCTCTAGAAGTGTTGCCACTAGTTAAAATGAAACGGCATCTTACCGACTTAATTTAATGTATTTCCTGTTTTCCTCTTTCCTTTGATCAGAATTGCACCGTGGACCCAACGCAGGATGTGCTGAAGCGTTTGGAGACACTCGGACAGGCTTTCAGCCAAAGGTTTGGACAGGCGGTCGGTCCACGCTGTGTAGTACTTGGTTGGCAGGTATGAACTGACACTGAAGGAGACAATATGCAACAATGGCAGCACTCGCTGTGCTGAAATTACTTAATGTCTAACATGTATATTTCTTTTGTCTTCCAGAGATTTAAACTCGGGGTCAGACTGTATTACAAAGTCATGGAGGCAATGCTGAAATCGGTACTTAACTTGTTTGAATTTGTTTATTTTTCACATGTTTTATTTAATGATATTGTATTTTTATTATTTATTTAGAAGCTCAAGTGAATTTAAATGTAGCAGATACCAGGTTTACCCACAGAAATGAATCTCAGAAAACCACAATTGATAAATGACTGCGTATTCTAAATATTATTAAACATATTTTACATAGGTTTTTGTCACTTCAGTGGAGAGCAAACAAAATCTGTCAATAGAAGGTGACTTAAATGAACTGTAGACTGAAGACATGTATATTGTTTTTTCTTCTGTTCTGTAGGAGGAGAAACGTCTCTCTGTACAAAATTTCAGGTATGTGTTTTTCAGTTTTAATCAGATGACAAATATGAAACTATTCAGTAGTGGTGTGTATTCACATGTGCATGCACGCTGTTTGTTGATTTAATTGTAAGTGAAGCAGTAATCAGTAGTGAAGCGTAATTTGCCTTGAACTAAGTCACATGATTTCCATTCCAGTAAACTTCTCAATGACTCCACATTCCACACATCACTGCTCGCCTGTGCTTTGGAGGTGGTGATGGCAACATATGGAGGTGTGTCTCGTAATTTTCCCATGCAGTCGCATTCTTAAATCACTGTGTTGTATCTCAGTTATTAATGATACAGGTAAATGTTTACACTTCCCGTAGACGTGCGACAAGCTGTAATAATGTTGTTTGCTCCTCATGATTAGAGAGCAGTTTTAAGACTGGAGGATACAACCATGTTGGTGGTGGTGCTGGCGACCCGGTGGAAACAGATGTGTGTTTCCCCTGGATACTGGATGTGGTCAACCTCGCCGCCTTTGACTTCTACAAGGTCATCGAGAGCTTCATAAAGGCCGAGCCCACTCTGAGCAAAGATATCGTCAAACATCTGGAGACCTGCGAGAACCTCATCATGGAGAGGATTGCCTGGAGGACGGTCAGTTTTATCTCTCATCACTATTCGAGTATGCTTGTAATAATGTCACAACATTTTATTGAGAGTTATGCATACACAACATAAAGATGCACAGACTCTGTAAATACACACATTTTATATACAGTTGCCTTTATTGTCCCAAGAAAAGAAAAGGAATTCAGCAGTTTGTTTAAATGTATTAATTATTACTAGTTCAAGAATAGCATATATCATATAACACATATAACTACTCCATAATGTTTGATCAGCATGTTTGTAAAATGAGGCAGGTTGTACACAAATTCAGTTCACTACATATGAAAAATTTGAATGCATTTCAGTATTATACAAACACAATATAGTTGGACCGTCAAAACATACTGAACAAAATAACTGAGCTGACAATGTGCTTCTCAGCATGGCACTGAACCCCAGACTGCTGCAGAGGTGCTGCACTCTGTGCTGATCACCTGCTGTGATTTCAAACCTGTCCAACATTGCAATTCCTGCCAAAAATACAGTTTACATATGAAATAAATGCAGAGCTAGCTTCATTTAACCTCTAAAGAAATGCACATGAATAGAAAAGGTCCTGGTCAACTGTATGAATCTGTCTAGCAAAGAAGTCATCTTAAGATAAAGAGGAGAAATTCCATTTCAGTTGTGTTAAATGATCTGTGTCACTGGCTGCCACTGCCTCCACCACCAGGCGCCTCCCTGTGCATCAGGCTGCTGGAGAAATAGTAGATGAGTGGGTTGAGGCAGCAATTGGAGCTCGCTAATGATAGCACCACAGGGTGCACAGCCTTGGTCACCTTGGCCAGGCCACAGTGGGGCAGCAGCCCCACATGTGTGAGGGTGTATCCCAGGAGGTTGATGTGATATGGGACAAAGCACAGCAGAAAGATTCCTAGCACCCAGTAAATAACTGTGAGAGTGTGCTGACGGCTGCGGCGCTGGCTGCGGGAGCGGTGTCTTGGCTGGCGAAGCACACTGAGCACTCTGCAGTAGCTGCAGAGAAGTAGCATAGTGGGCAGCAGAAACGACCCTATGACTAAGCCCAGAGCTACCAGGATGATGGTGCGGTGGCGTTGCGAGGATGGGTCCAGCAGACAGGGCTGGTGTTGGCGAGCAGCTGCAGAGCGCAGCAGAGGCAGGCTCACACTGAGCCCCAGCACCAGGCACCAGATCCCCCCACTCACCAGCTGTGCTGCTCGCAGCCTGCGGAGTGTTGAGGCCAGCGGGTGCACTACAGCAAAGTAGCGGTCCACAGCAATGCAGACCAGGAAGAAGATGCCCCCATACAGGCTGATGTATTTGAGGGTGAAGGTGAGGTGGCAGTATGCCGCTCCAGGAGTCCAACTGGACGGGTCTCCTGTCTTGAAGGACAGAGCTCTGGCCTTCTGGTGGTAGTAGTAAATTCTCAGGGGCAGAGAGATTACAAAAAACAAATCGGCAGCTGACAGGCTGACCATGTAAATGGCTGTGCTGTTCATGGTGCAGGGAGATAAACACAGTCTGCGCAGAGCCAGGCTGTTGGTGGTCAACCCCAGCAGGAAGATGACACCATAGGACACCTGATAGAAGGTGAAGCGGTAGCTGGTGTCCACAGTGCAGTTAGACAGAGTTGAGAACTGCTTGCCTGGCACATCAGTCATATTCCACAGCTCCATGTCCCAAAATAATTTGCTGCTCCAACACTTTAAATCACTGTGTCGCTCTCATCTGGAAGAAATTAAGTTGGTTGAAGTGAACATAAGGTGGCAGGAAGGAACATGTTCACTTGCCTCTCCTGGAGTGAAACCTATGGCAAGAAAAAATGTAATAAACTCAAATGTCTGCTGTTTTATGGATGGTAAATTTGCTGAGGTGAGATGAATAGACTGCGATGGCTAACATAGCTGAATTTATATTCGGTATGCAAGACGACAGTTAATCTGACAATAAAATTTTAACTGCAACTTCCTGCTCTCATAAAACATGCAAACATTTGATTTCATTACATGCAGAGAATATAATGCTGTTCCTCTGCAGTACATTCATATTCACTGAAGCTCATGAACTTTTGCTGAGATTGTCAGAGGTGTTGATGTTGTTAAAAGTCATTTTAAGCCTATAGTTTGTAGTGTGTAACAAGTATCCAGTTACGCAACTTTCAGTCATGATGTGGAGGGTCTAATTATAGGCACTCTTTATCCTCTGTTTGGTTTATGTCATGATTTTGGAGACTTTTCTCTCGACTTTTTTCCTCAGTCTTTCTTTTTTTTGTGACCAATTCACCAGGAATTTAGGCTGTAAACAACTCCAGTGATCATTTAGTTGAAACATTTTCACTGACTGAGGAATTACAAGAGCACCCACTGTTATCTTAACAAAATGATATTATACTTTATTAAAAAAAAAAAAAAAAAAGATAATTTAGAATAAAAGCACACTGATCATCACTACACTTGATTTTTTCTCTATGACATGACATGATTTTTTTGCTCCTCATATATAATCCTAAATTGCTTCTGTTGTTTGCTTTTGAGATCTGATAACGACTCCAGCGAAGACATTCAGTAATCACAAATACTGAGTGTCTGGTGAGCGTCTACTTATTGAATTGATCTTAATGCGATGTCATCTTTAAGAATTACAAGACATATAGCTGTTTTATGTCTTTTGATCTAACCACGTTACATTTTTGCCTTAATTTGGTTTCTTAGCTGTGAGAAGTGCTCAAATATTGCACACAAAAATATGATTCCTTATCTTTGTCATCAGATAATCTTAAATTTCCACCAAACTTGGATAAATTGACACAGTCAGTTGCTTAATTTTACAAAAAATGACATGTCTTAATCCATTTATATACCATGCATGTAGAAGGAAAGCACAGTTAGTACAAATGAGACGAATATTGCAACAGAAATCTTCAGCACTCACCAGTGTCAGGAGGATCTCATAGATGCAGTGACAGTGTGATAAAGTTTTTCTTCCAGACAGCTGGTGTTCAGCGGCAGGATAACTTGTTAGGATGCTGTAACCGTGCACATGCTCTTGATTGGAGCTGTTCACGCCTACACTCACACACAGGTCAGGGTCTCTCCCTGTCTCCCTCTCTCCTCTCCTCCGCACACTTCTTCTGGCTTGTTATTACTGCCTAATGCATAGCTCATTACATGAAAATACTGAATGAGCTTTAAAATTACTGATCCTTAGGTCGTCTTGAGGATAGATTCTTTATTGGGTTTTAATCAGCTAGTTTGCTCATTGGCCTGGAGTTTGTGATCAGCCTCACAATAAACACACACACACACACAAGTTGTTTCGTTACCGTCATGGTGGAAGTCATGTTTATGGCTGCTTGTTAAAAACCTACACGAGTGATTGGAGTTAATCATTAACTGTATTTGTCAGACAGTTAGATAAAGAAATAGCAATAATTCACTGAAAGAAGGTGCTGTAACCATTCAGCAGGTAAGTAAGGTCATCTTGTGTGTCAACCTCGGGACCGGTGCCCTCGGGAACAACAAGTTAGTGTAGATCACAGTTCATGGCTATTAAAGCCCAAGAGACAAACAATTTGATGCGTCATAATTCGTCAGAAATGAAGTCAAAACCTTCAGGACAAGTCTTTTGACTGTGATAAAAATGTATGTTAGTCTTTGCACCTGAGAGAAGCAGTAATTCATCTTTTATTCACATCAGATTTTCACTAATCAATTTGATGGATGGATGGAAATTCGGACATAAGTAAAGTGGGGTTTCACTTGTCAAGTCTCTGTTTGAACAGTCGTAATTTGGGGAATATTAGGCTGATATGGCACTTAGTTAGCTGCACACTACTTGGCCCTTGTGAGACAAATTTGAATTAGACAGAAATACACACACAAACATATGAAAGGCATATGTTGAAAGAGAAATAACTGGTCAAGATTTTTTCTCCTGCGCTTATTAAAATAAATCTTACCTTCGTGTTATGATTTTCATTACAAATGAAATAAATAAATCCTCTTTGCATACACTAAATTATATCAATATCCGGCTGTGTGATCATCATGTCAGCTTTGAGTCTGAATTACTTTGCTGCTATTAATCCAGTGCAAATATTTTATTTGTGTTGGGTGGAGAAAGTCCAGCTGCATCTTGATTGTAAGCCTATTTGCAATACGTTGTTGTGTAAGGAGCCCAAACAAGGCAACATAAGACTTAAGACACTGCTAACTGTTTCATTTGTCTCAAGGATGCCAGTTTTAAGTTAACACTCCGGATTATTCACCAAATCTATCTCATGATTGCAACAACCATCACTGTGCTCTATTTTGCAAACGTACTTCTCCCTCAAGAGGCATGTTGTCGCTCGCCTGCTTAGGTTTCACAATCCAGCGCAGTGGTGGTGATGAGTCTACCCCTGTCAGCGCAGACCCTCAGGCTAAGCCTCTCAACAGGAATGCAGTAGCGCTCAGTCTTGCAACGCTCAGCTTTTACAAGAATGAACAAATATTCATGCTGCACCATTTTCCATTTATACTGTGGGGTGTGTTTTCCCTTCTCTATCAGTCGATAAAAAACAGACATGAAGTCAGTTTGGCTTCCATTGTTTTAAATTATTCTCATCAAACTTCAGTAACTTCAAAATTAAGTCTGAAACTCATTTTTAACGTTTCAAAATCTTCTAGAGAAACAACCTCTTAGATAAGACTGTAGACACTGTAAGTGCAGTGTTAGCTGATGTAGTGCAACTGTCAAATATTGACCACACCTGTAATCTACATTTTAAAACATATTGACTCATTCGTGACACCGGCCAATAGTAACTGTAAATGTGTTGTTGGTACTTGCATGACTAATCAGTCTAGACAAATGATTTGGCACCCAAAAAGAGTTGCATATGAAAAACTGATACCCTGCTGATGTCAAATATTTCACAACATGCCCCACTCTATCAACAAGTAGGTAATTTCATACTCAAAAAACATTTCATAAGCACAACTCTTTTATTCACTTTTCGTGTAAGGGCTTAAAAGCTGTTATAGAACATGCTGCTCTATAAAGTACTTACAAGGTGCAGTGAGGCCACAACTACTTATAAATTGCACAGTACACCACATAAAAAAAAGAGTTGTAATACTGGTTCAGCATTGCCAAAGCAGAATTTGCTAAAGGAGAATCTGCTCTGAGGAATAAGACTACAATTACAATGTCTTACGTGCAAAAGCTGATACTTATTTGCAGCACTGTATGCATGCCTACGTCTTCTACACCTGTCATTTCCACAAATACACATTATAAACTCAAAAGAATAAAGAGTTTTCTAACTTGCGTGTTGTGAATAGGCAGCCCAATAAAGCGTCTTTATGCTGCAGCACAGTTAAATATTTTCAAATGTTTTCTCTTTGACTTGTTCCGCTCTTTCATTGACTGAAGAGGGTTCAGTGTCTTAACTCCCAGTCTGAAGTCTCTGTGGAGTCCAGTAGACGAGAGAGTGACTTCTTAGTAAACACTGTGTTGATGATATGAAGATCGTCACTCTGGTTCCACCTGCGTCCTCAGATTCAAATCGATTTTCACCAGCAGACATTAATTTATTATTCATGTCCCACAACAGAGTTTTCATTAGACTGTGGACTCGCTGTCAAACGTGGATCTCATAGACCTCAGTGTCAGGTTTTTGAGTGTTGTATTTGGACTGCTTTGTGTGCTGTCCGTCTGTAGTCTGTCAAATAGCCTGGTACCGTTGTGCCGTGCCATGGACTTGCGTTTGATGGAGCTCTGAATGGTTTCTGAAGTGAAGTAGTAAATGACCGGATCAAAACAGCAGTTGGTCACTGCTATGCACAGAGCAATGGGATAGATGGTTCTGACCACATGTTCTGCGTCGCATCCCTTTAGGATTTTGGAGCGGACCATGGCGTAGAACATGAGATTAACATTGTAGGGAATAAAGCAGAAACAGAAGATGAGCAGATGCACGAAGATCATCCTCAAGATTTTCGCCTTGTTGAGGTTCCCTCCACGGGTGATGGTTTGGGGTTTCCTCAGTGTCCGTAGCACCATGATCGAGCAGAAGACATTGAGCAACAATGGGATGATGAAGCCCACAGTCTCAATAAACACCACCACCTTAGACAGCTCAGCCCTCCACTGTTTTCTTGAGTAGTTTTCAAAGCAGTAGTTTGAGGAAGAGTTCTGGTTTTTGGGTGAAGTGGTGTCCAAGAGGAACCCAGTGGGTATACTTCCAGAAAGAACCATCACCCACACTGTACAGCAGGCCAATTTGGCATTCCTCTTAGTACGAATTGTTTGGGACCAGAATGGATGCACAATGGCCAGGAAACGGTCAATACTGATGCAGGTGAGGAAGAGGATGCTGCCATACATGTTGGTGTAGAACAGGGCCACAGAGATCTTGCAGAGCACATCTCCGAATACCCAGTCACGTTTAATGAAGTAAACGATCCGAAAAGGCAGGCTCAGGACAAAGAGAGAGTCTGAAACCACAAGGTTTATCATGTACGTCGTGGTCTCATTCCGCACCTTCAGCGTACAGCCAAAAATGTATACAGCCACCAGGTTGAATAAAAATCCAACGACAAACACCAGGCTGAAAACGGTGCTATACAGAGGATACTTGAAGTCGTCGTTCTTGTTGCATGTCGTGGAATTGTTAGTGCTGCTTAGTGCACTGACGGTATAATCTTGTGTGGTAATATTATACATTTTCAAACCACCTCCTCAATTGTGCACTTGTGTTATTCATAAAAATCCAAGTCCAGCTTGTTGATCCAACCATGTGCAGCAGGCAGGGACAATCTACATTTCCTCTGGATAGGAAGAACACTCCTGAAATACTGAAGACTGCTCAGTTTGTGTGGTTTTGTTATGAAATACTGCAAAGTGTACAGCAACTCCACAAAATACCTGCATTAGTATCCAAAGTCCTTTTTCTCTCTAAGTGAAAGCTGTCCTGTGCATCCAGTGATCCATATTTAAGTGAAGTTTTCAGTCCTTTCACTGTTGAAATGTTTATCCCTTTGAGAGAGGAGTCATGTGCCTCTTCTCAACTCCGTGAGCAGTCGAGTGGTTCTTCCGTTCTCGTTTCCTGTCTACTCCTGCAGCAGCCCTGAGGGGGGGGCTCCAGCGGTTTTATCTCTGCCCCTGCCTGACCGTAAATGAGAAACCTCGTAGCAGGCTGCCAGTCAGGCTCCAGCACAAAGAACTCGCTGGACTGTTGTAACAGAGAGGGAGGAGCCTCCACTGGGGCCAAAGTCCTCCCATCACTGCTCTGTTTTGAGTTTGAATAATGAGAGAATGAATAATGAGACATTAGGGTTGGTTTCTTGTTGACTGCTATAGGTGTGTTCACATCAACCTCCCATTGACTTTAGACATCAGTTTATAGTTGACAGTGAACAGAACATTTACTAAACCCTATAAAACATTGCAGTTGGCATCTGTTATATGTCACTGAGCGCTGTTAAGACAGTCGAATATTAAGTGTACATTTGAAATGTGTCTGTGGTGTCAGCCGGGTGTGGCACGTGTGACAGGAAGAATGTACTGACAGCAAGTCTGTACCTGCAGTCAATGTGTAAACTGCTGAGTAGTAAACCACACCTACTTCCCTGTATGATCTCATCGCTGATTTTTGGTCTTGGTGTGTACATGCAGATATTCAAGTGCACCACTGCTCTGCGTGTCTTTTAGCCTTGAGTTAAATGTTGTTTGACAAGTGTAAAGGATAATTATGCGTGTGTGTAGGTGTGGATTTTGCTGTGTCGGTATTAAGATGGTATTTTTATTGCATGACTGTCACGAAAATCAGATGAGATACTGTATAAGGAGTGTCCCTCCGTCGATATAAAATGAGGAACAGATGTATCATTAGATCACAGTTATAATTTGACAGGTGGGATTTTGCAATGGAAATTAGGTGTGTAGTTAGATTGTTTTCCTGATCACACTGATACTTTGTCAATGCTGCACTTGTTGCTCTGGGGAAAACGTAACTAATGGGCTTTTTTATTAAAGATAATATACGTGAGTTACAATTAGTAAATGACTTCATTGATTGTGATTATATTCTCTTTTGAGCACCTTTCTCCAAATTCACCAAGATAATCTGCAGTGCCAGACAAAAGCACAGTAGGTTCCCTTACAACATAACATCCCTTCTGATTCTTGGTCCCTCTGTGGTTTCTGTGTGTCAGTAAGACTGCAGATGTTACACTGAACAGACAGGAATAACTCCAGTGATAGTTTTTTGATTATTTATTAGATAAAATGCAATCCAGAGTAGCAAAAGGCTTCACGTGCAGTCTCAGAGGTACTTTCAGTTCTGCTTTAGTGATTCGTATTTGCAAGGCTCTGAGGTATGGGTTGATGCTGCATTTAGACTGCTTTGTTTTAGCCATGACAGGTAGAAACACTACTCTCATATCAACTTTGAGAAGGATTTCTCTTTTTGTCCAGGTTTCATTTCTTGAACTGAATTCTAGGAAACAATGTGTAGTAACTCAACAGGATTCATACACTGCACTGGCTGTTGGTTTAAATGTAAATAACGTGTGTGTCTCCACAGGGCTCGCCGCTCTTTGAGCTGCTGAAGCAGGAGCACGAGGGCGAGGCAGCAGAGCAGGTGGAGACCCCAGCCAATTTCAGCCAGCCGCTGCAGCACAACCACACCGCAGCTGACCTGTGAGTCTGACATCCTACACTCTATTTGTCTGTCTCTCAGTTGCTGGTATGCAGCAGCTAATACCCTTCAAGCTGTTGTGAAACCACTGTGAGTCAAAAGTAAAAAAGCTTGTCGCTTTGATGACGTCATAGTTGAACATCATGGTATTTAAAAAAAAAGATGTCAGTGAAATTCCATGACTTACACACACACTCTGAGCCATCCTCTCTGTAGCTTTGAACCTGTTCTTCCACCTCATTTTAAACCCTCTTAAATATTTGTGATTTGTGATGCACATTAAATGGAAATTGCTGTTTATTGCTAGATTATTTTAATGTTGATGGTGTAACTGACGAGGCCCAATGGGTTTCTCCACTGTCCTTACAGATACCTGTCCCCCATGCGTCCGGGCCTTCGTATCTTGCCTCCTGAGTCCCCAGCCACACCCAGCTCCCAAGCTTCCTCGCAGCCTCTGACCCAGCCTGCCGGCCAGACCCCACGACTCCCAAAGTCAAACTCTCTCAGCCTCTTCTATAAAAAATGTAAAGCATTGTTCAAGTGCTCACATGTGTGATCAATGCAGTAATTTTACAGTTTTTTACAAACAGAAGTTCAGTCCCCTGTTTTTGTTAAACCTCCAAGAAGCTGTTAAAAATGATGTCAATGATCATCATGTTTATTCAGTTTGTTCGATTCAGTGCACAAATCTTTCAGGTTTTTCTCCATGTCCAACTGTCTCTGTGGTTTCCTCTCTCTGTAGTGTACCGCCTGGCCTACACGAGGTTGAAGATACTCTGCTCCTACCTGCTGTCCTCCCACCCTGAACTGGAGCCCATCATATGGACCCTGTTCCAGCACACTCTGCAGCACGAGCATGAGCTGATGCGAGACCGTCACCTCGACCAGGTAACCGGCCTGCCTTTCATTTGCTAATTATTTTTTTCTCTTACTGTTTTTTTTTTTTTTTTTTGTCTTTACTCACTTTGTCTCACTTCCTGCATCCCTTTTATCATGTTTTTTTATTATCTCAAACTGCTTCTCATTCGTCTTTCAGTTGATGATGTCAGCCATGTATGCCATATGTAAAGTGAAGAGTGTTGATCTGCGCTTCAAGACCATCGTCACAGCGTACAAGAACATGGCCAACACCAACCAGGAGGTGAGGCCTTTTCATTCCAATACCTCTATCACCCTCCAGACTGTTTTCAGACTCAACTAAGGAATAGTAGGTTTTGCTTTTGTTGAATAATTTTGAACTTTTTATCTCTTTGTGTCACACTGTATATCACAGACCTTTAAGCACGTGTTGATCTCTGAGGGCCACTATGACTCCATCATCGTCTTCTACAACCAAGTGTTCATGCAGAAGCTGAAAACCAACATCCTGCAGTACGCGTCTACCAGGGTGAGACTCCTTCCAGTGCTACATGGAGTATTGGATAAACGTGCATGGTTACAATACCCTCTCATTGTTGCTGTTTTGTTTTTGTAGCCACCCACCCTCTCTCCAATCCCACAAATACCACGCAGCCCCTACAAGTTCCCCAACTCACCTCTGCGGGTGCCTGGCAGCAACAACGTGTACATCTCCCCTATGAAAAGCCCACGCATGTCCCCGGGTATCATGACTCCTCGCTCCAGGTGGGTTCTGCATCTTCAAGGCAGATCAGATCGCAGATAATTTTCGGACAGCTAAAGCCAATTTAACACTACACGACTGCCAAAGTCATGAGGTTGTTGTACTATTCACACAAGGGTTGCAACAACATGAGATTTTCCCAGTAAGATAACCTTCTCAGTAAGTGTTGGGGTTTCTTGGTGTTACGGTATTATAGAATGGTTTTTAGTATATCTTCCAGCGATCCTCAAAGGAATGAAAACAAATGTTTTTGGTTGAACCAACGTGTTCGTACTATCATTGAAACTTGAGACCTTTTTAATGACAATATGTGTAAAAAAGCTCCCTTTTAAAATGAACTAAAATTAAGGTGAGATTCTCTGTCCAGGTGCTTTTTTTCAATGCCGTAAAGAAGCAAGTGTACAGTACATGGTATATCAACTGTCATTCCACGGTGTAACTTTTAAACCGCTGCAGCCCTATTCACACAGGTTCACAGGGGGGTGCTTACAAGAAGAAGTCAAAAAGTGACAAAACATCATTATGAGTAAATTATAGGCGAGTCACTCACAGAAAGAGTGTGTGTAATTTGTCAACATCCACTTTCTCTTCCCCTCTGTCACCTTGGCTCTCTCCCTATGAAACACACACACAGCATGGGCAGCGCTGCCGTGCCGTTGTTTCTGTCCTCAATCTGTGTCTTGTGCTCTCATTGGCTGTAGCTAGCCGACAAAGACCCCAGCAGGTCCAGCTAAATATCTGGAGATTTGCGAGTGTGGAGCCAACGCCAGTTTGCCTCTGACCTGGGCCTTTTGTCTGGGAGTTCCAAAAAAATCAGGACTAAAGTAGTGTAGTGCGAACTAGACATTTATTGATTGTTGAAAAAAAAAGAAGAAAATGCTATTGACGTGAAGTAGCCTGATTGTTTCTGAAACAATGAAAAAACTTAAACTTGCACATGATTTTTCTAATTTGTGTCTTTTTGCCTTTACAGAATGCTGGTATCAATCGGTGAATCTTTTGGGGTACGAGCCTCTTGTGTTTGCTTTGCTGCATATTACAGGATAATTTGCAATTACAATAATCTATTTTCCTCACTCACTCTGTTGTTTCTGTTTTGTTTTCATCTGCAGCTGTCCAATCGGTTCCAGAAGATCAACCAGATGGTCAACAGCAGCGATCGCTCCTTTAAGAGGACTCTGGATCTGGGCTCCACTCCAAAGCCTCTGAAGAGGTTACGCTTCGATGTGGACGGGCAAGATGAGGCCGACGGCAGGTTGGTCACAAATGTTGTTTTATTTGCCCTGATTTATTAACCATACATCCAGGGCTGAAAATTAACTTTTTGGCTCACCGGCCAAGAGGACTGGTAGATAAAAAAATCCACCGGCCAAGCATATTTTTTACCAGCCAAAATAAGGAATTGCCTTTTTTCTGTCACATATACATTTGTTTCAGTACTTTTCATTAAGATAATACAGTATTAGGTTGAATACAAGCTTAAAGGAGAGGCCAGAGTGAAATTAAAAGCAAAATTAGTTTAATATTAGCAATTATCGTATCATTTTGAGCTCAAAATTCCATTTGCACTTTGTGCTTCAAATATTTGTACTTCAAACATAACAGTAATTTACAGTAACATAGCAGGCTATGTGACACTTGCTGCATTCATGGTCACGGATGTTCTCCAGCTTCATCATTTTGTTACCGATGACAAACGAGTTGTTACCTTTTTTTTTTAGCATATTGCCAACATACATTACAGCTCATTACTGCACCCTCAGTATCGTAGTGTAGCCAGCCTCTTGAAATGCTGTTATCGCCGAACCTCCGTTTCTTACAAAACTTTTTTTCTGTAACGTTACAGCTTCAGCTTCGTCCTCGTCTGTGTTTTTTCGTTTTGTC